AGATAGATATATATATGCACATACATACATATAAAGCTTTTTGCCTGGTGACATTTTGAGTGTCGTCCAAATACAACGAAGCACAAATCAAGGTTAAAAATTAACAGATGGCACTGATGGGTCATCTTAGTTTTCTTCAGGCAGATACAGGAGGTATTCCTCCTCGCTCTGTTTTTTTTTTGCCAAGCTAATTGGCAGCTAGCTTTGTATTTACCATACATAAAGTGGCCCCTGTCAGCTCACGAGTTCAGTGAGACGAACAACAAACAGAGACTACACTGCGCAGGATGGATGTAGGCGTTTGTGGCTGCTGAGTTCAAGCACTTCAGGTAAACATAGTACTAGACATAGTAGAAAGAAGTGGTTCAATGTGTGGTTGGAGTGGACTGACGATGATAAGAGAGGCTTGGGTCAAACATATGGTTTTTGAGACTCACTGTGTCTGAGCATGTTAGTTTTTTCACAGATGAATAGCCTATAGATTTTTGTTGAATTTCACTTGTTCATACCAGTGGATTACGGGGCTGCATGACCATCTCTGTGGAGCTGTGCCCAATGCCGTTAGGAATACCAGCTGTTCGGTGCATGGCTCCGACGGAGCGTCTTTTTCTCGCCTCCTTGGCTGCCTTCATCAGCTCCACCGTCACCCCAAGTTCAGCAAAGCTCTGCACCCCTGGACTGGCTGATGCACCCTCCTCCCACAGCCTAAAATGGTGATTATGGCTGACCGCTAAAAGAAAGAGAAAGAGAACGAAGAAAGAGAAGACCATGTCTATGTCAGTGTCAGTGAAGCACCACAGAGCCTTGGCCAGACAGTGAGATCATTTCCACCATGGAGCCGAAATGTATTTCTACAACTGCCCCCTACTTCCTGCTCTTAAAATGATTGTTTGAACTCATTGTGAAGGAATTGTCCATACGCATGTATTATTGTAAGGGTTTATTCTCTATCCATCACTGCTAAAACCACAACACAGGTCTGAGCTGCCAGGAGGTCGGCCAGGATCCTTCAATTGGCAGGCAGATGGAGGACAACAAATTACTTTAACTAGTTTGGAAATACTTATTGGTACTTTTTTGTATTCTCGGTGCCAACTGGGCCTTGTGCTCCACTGTTTTTTTCTGTAGTTCTGGCTATCAATGAAATCTGTAAAAATTAAGACCAAGCCTTAGATTTGAAGCCCAGGTTGCGGAGCTCCATGTTCAAACCCACAAAGCCACTGGTCTGGGCCAGTGGTTTAAAGGGCAGAGTGAGGTTAGCCAGAAACACGTTGACAAATGCTCTGATGGTTCTGCCTTACCTCACTCCTCAGAGCTTCGTAAAGACTCACTCACACAACCATGCATTTGAATCTAAATAGTCCTGACACATGTACGAACACACACGCGCACAACCTGTCCAGCACACTTCACACACTATCTTGTTTCTCTCCAAACAGCCACTACTTGTGCGCTTAATTGCATTTCCATCCTAACAAATTTCCCACTAAACCTTGAAACTTGATAGTGCATCACGTTTAAGCCCCACCAAGACTTCAAAGTCTAAAATTGCTTGTGCATTTTTTGGCTCTGACAACTCCATATACCCTCACTGATATTTACAATAAAGCAAGACAAGCCCATGGAATGCCCCAAAAAGTTTTAACAAGTTTATTATGTCAAACTCCGTCTCCAGCCTCCTTTTTGTTCCCTATAGGACACTGACAGCCCACTTACTCCCTTGTGCTTTTATTCCCCTAAGACAAAGACTGACTCTTACCATGCCAATGGAAATAATTACAGATGTGTCAGAAATGCTGGTGCCTGTCTCAGTTTGGAAAAAGTGGGACATCCACCTCCTTCAGGGCAAGAGGGCACCGCTGGGACAGCTGGAAACCAGACAAGGCCACTGCTTCCACAACCTTAACATTTATGTATCCCCATTTCTTAACAGCTTCAATCTGTCCAGGTACTATTATTTGGTAAAAAGGAGAGAATAAAGGGATCAAGCAGAAGAAACCCTTTTTTGATAAATCCTGGCTCAGAGGTAAGTGGTCTGACAGAGTACACCTCAACTATCATCACCCACCTTCACCAGCCCCCAAACCACCACTATGGTTTTTACCGCCAACACTGTGGTAAACCAGCGGAAATGTGGAACAGAGCGTACGACTGACTGAAAGACAGAGAAAGATTAAAGATGTGGCTGGACAGCAGTTAGAAAAACAAAGGCAAATGCCATCTGGTAACATTTAGACAGTACTTTTTTTTTCTGTTCCTTTCTGCCTTTTCTTTTTGCTTTGTGTATGACGAACGTGCTCTAAATATCTATGACATCAAACTTTGGGTGAAGCAGATTTTCGGTTTCTGTCATTAATAGCCCTTTAACTTGACTTGTGAAAAGATCTGAAAAGGCCACTGGACATTCATGTGTTCCAGGTAAAACATTCAATTAAAAGAGACGGGTTCTTGCAGTCTTCCTCACCGATCAGTTTGGACCACTGCGCAGGGGGTCGGAACAGCGGATACTGCTTTGGAAAGGCCTGTGGGCTCCAGTGACCCGTAAAGACCAGGATGTAAGACGCAGGAGTCTTGGCTGTGCAGCCTGTCTTATTGAATGGTCGCACGGGGTCGGCGAAAGCGAGGCAAAACTTCACAAGCATCACGAGCAGCTTCCACAGCCAGCCATAGGTCAGGTGCTCTGATGACATCATCTGAAAGGAAGGTAGAAAAGAAAAAAGGTGTTATTGGTCTTGTATGGAAGAGTTGGACCATGCACATGTCTAAGCTTTCGGAACAAACACTGTTTATGATCCTTATAGATAATAAAAACCCTACTGAGTTTTTATGTTGTAAAGTGGGCAGCACATTTTGAAATAGATAGTTGTCTCACAACATTTGGGAACATACGCTTCTTAAGCTGGCAGACGAAAGGGTTTTGGTTTGAGCCAAACCCTGGACAACCCTAGAAAATGAGAAGAAAGTGGAAAATTCCACACCCCTGCCCTCATATCAAAACCCGGCCATTTTTATCTAAGAACAAAGTCGACTGAACCCACTGACCCTTCAAGCTTTCGAATACTCCTTTGGGCCCGGCTGACTGTGTGTGGACCCAGAGCCAGCGTCTGGCTGCAGGTCAACTGTTAATATTCATCAGGAATGTCTGTTACGGGAGCTGACCTGAAATAAAACAACCCGTATGACACCTCTGAAGATGGATGTAAACTCTGTGTGATCTCACTGACTGACCATCCACTGACCAGCAGCGGCTGAGTCAGACTCGCCCCGATTAGGAGGCAGAGCGATGAGGGAGGAGGGCACGCGAGTGAAAATCCCTTTTGAGCTTTATATAAATCATGGAACAGAAAGGAACCATGTGTTTTTGTGTCTTCGTATACTTTTCAACCCATCTCTGTCTGGTTCGGGGTGCGGCCGAATTAAAATGTCACAACTATCCTGCAGTGCAGCGTATGATGATGTGCACTGTATGATCTTCATCCTAAATTTACTCCAGACGTGGGTTTTCAAAGCTGCATGGAGGCACCATTAAGGCTAAAATGTATAAATACTTTTCTGGAGCATTGGGTGTAAAAAAAAAAAAAAAAAAGGCACATTAAAACATAATATCAAGCATTCATAATTTCATTTAATGACGTTTTTTTAAATTGTTTAAATCTTTGTTGATGTTTGGATGTTCCAGAGTGTCATTTCCATGCATTTCTATGCTGTAGCTGAAACTCCAGGCAGCTGGAGAATGCAGACGGTTAAATTTGGGTGAGTCAACCCCAGCGCACAAACACACACCCCTTCACCATCAACACACATAACGCCCCTTGACCTATCACATATTGTCCCCAAAGTCTATTTCCAGGGGTCAGATTGAATTTCTCGGCCAACATGGCTGCAAAAACTCCAACTCTGACACTTTTCTCACCGCAGTCTGCTGCTGAGTGTTTTATCAATTCCCTGTCTCCATTAAATGCGTATTAACCACAGTTTAACAGACATCCATAAAAATACCTTGAGTGTGGAGCCACACTGGCCCCAGTTTTGATCCAGCTGCTTAGTGACCAAGTTTGTCGCTCCGCAGGAGGCAGATCCAGGTTGAGAAGCGAAAGAGTCCAACTAATTCAAAAAAGCAACTTTTATCGCAACGTGACGATGCTGCTATTTGAGACTTGAGGTTAAAAAAGAAATCACGACTTAAATGCAGTTTAGCATCTGGTTCTGAGCTGCCGCTGTCCAATCTGCTCTCTTTATTATGTTTATGATAAGAGGACTGGTCCTCGCCCTGTGATGGACTTGTGACCTGTTCAGTGCGTGCCCTGTCTCTCTTACAGTGACAGCTGGACATAAGCACAGCTGGAAAAAAGTGGTTAAAGAAAATGGACGAATGGATGGGATGGTCCTTTAGAAAGTTCACCCAAACAGTTGTTCAACAAAGTGAATGGACTTCTCTTCATGTTTTGTGCTGCTTCCCATTGGAGTAGTATTCACAATTAAAAAAGAAATAAATTTTAAAAAGTAGCTTTCCATGCTTTTAAATGGTCATTGGTTGCTATGTTTATGCTAACTGAGCACATGTGCAAACCTCTCTTCTGCTCATCCCTTATGTGGGTCTCTTTTGAGAACAATATGCTTCATATTTTGGACAGAAAGCTAGATAGTTTGAGAGAGAAGTGAAGGAAGCCATATTTGACAGGAAGACCAACATTGAACAGAGAAGGAGGACTTTGGTTTCACCTTACGTTTTAAATCTAATCCCCAGTTGTTTTTTCTCCAAGGGTTAAACGAGTTGTTGTGAATGCACAAGAGTTTTTAATAGTTTCAGCCATGCCACAGGGAAATGGCATTTTAGGAGCCTGGAAACTGTAGATTTTGAAAACAGGTTTCAGAGGGAATTAATCTCGTTTTTGTGTAGACACATTGTGAAAATGATCATGTCATAACCCTGCCTCTAATCTAACCTAAAACCTGAGGATGTCTTCTTCTTCTTGTGTTTACATTTGACTCTCGGTTTTATGTGCATGCTCCACATCTTGTTTCTAGTTTTGGACGTATTTCCTTGGCAGTGTTACAGCGCCACTTACAGGTCTGGCATGGCTACTACAGCGTTTTGGGCTGTTTTTGGTGTTTTTGTGTGGATAAAGATGTTTATAGTAATGGTCCGTGTTTAGACCTTGTCCGCACAGAAAGAAAAAACAGCATTGCTTCTACAAATGTCTTGAGCCACACAGAATCCCTTAAAATGACCTAACGTGCTGTAGTAACCATGCCAGTCCTGTGAGGGGTGCTGTAACACTTCCAGGAAAATACAGGAAACAAGGAAAGGAGCTTAAAGCGTGCATGCTGGGTGTGAAACCCAAACACGACAAGAAGAGAATGTCCTTGAGTCAGAAAATATATTTTCTTGTGGCTGGTCCAGGCAAACAAAAACCAGAATGACCCAGAGGAGTGAGGGGAGGTAGAGTGCTTTGCATGTGAGTTCAGCTTGAACAAAAGGAGCAGATCACTGCAGTGTGGAACGCTACATCCATCAGTTCATATGAGACATCTGTCCAGCCACTTTGTTGAAACATTTTAGGTTTTGCCATCTCCTGGATGACTTGATTGACTAAGGATGAACATTTTCAGCTGAAAGCTTACAACATAAAAAGCAAACTTTTATTCTGAAAGGATCTGTTTCAGATAAAGCGTGACACTTTGGTTTTGGTGAAGCCTTTGACCTTTTGAACTTCTCACACCGGCAGGACCACACACACTAAAGAGACATTTCTTGAATTCCCACAGAACACATAGATCTGCATTATTTTTTATTCACACCCATTTGTCACCAATACAACGACTTTACATGGACCTGTAAATTAGTGAACATGTCCATCAGTCAATTTGGACATATTTTACAAAGTGTTGTTTTTTTTTTTAGCAGAGGTTAGGTGTGACTCAGAGACAAACATATCTGCTGTCACCCTTTGGACACCCTTCATGCACATTACAGCAGCTTCATGCAGAGATAACGCAAACACCTCAGCTCACATGCACAGACAGTCAGGCATGCACACACCAGCACATTGTGCACACTTTGCTTATTTTTTTACAAGGACACAGTGAGGAATTTGCTTCTAATTGAAAACTTTCATTGGATAATTGTGGATTTAAGAGTTTTGTGTGACGTAAAATGATGCACCCATCTGTCTTGAATTTCTTTTCACTCATGCCTGCTCAGCGGGCAAACGTCTGTTGCATTCACGCATGCACAGAGAAACACAGACCCTCATGGTGCATGCTCACAGGAGGTCTGAAACTCGATCAGGACAGTAAAGAGGGAAGCCTAGATGTCCCCCCCCCCCCCCCCAAAAGTAGGTGAGCTGCAACATCAGCAGAAGAACAACAGGATTGACGGTGCATACAGATATCTACAAACTGTCAAGTGGCTGTAGATTTTTAAAAGACATTTTTGCACAACTGCTTCAGAACCTGGCGTACGGTTGATGGTGGAACACCCCCCCCCACCCCACAAATCTCTTAGAGTTCACCAAATATTTGAGCGTTGTATTTATTTATTTCAGCTCCCCTGAAATCAATTGATGTACCAGTGGAACTATAGTGCTGTTTATTTCTGCTCTGTTAAATCAAACTCTCTGCAGATTTGAATTTAACACACGCTGGTGCAGACCTACATGTTTAAACGTAACGATGCACCAAACACAGTTATAGCTGGTGTTTTTCTCTTCAGCTGTTCTCCTCAGCGCAGCGAGTGAACTTGCCTTAGAGGTTTCACCATTGTTTTACGCCAAACTCTCTGTCTGACGTAACCCGGGCTCCAACCTGAAGCCTCAGGACTATGAGACCACTGCACTGACCACTGAGCCACCGCGGCCCCCGATGCACTAAACTTACACAATGTTCTACAATTCAACGTCAAATCCTAACTATCTGCACCGTCTGTAGATTTTTCTGTTAATATTTTGTGTATATTTTCAGTATAAAGATGTTATAAACTAGCACTTTTATCACTTTACATGCCAGTTATTAACTCACAGTATAGTTTGAATTGACATTATGATCATTTTTGCTTTTGTTGAGAGAATGCTGCTGTTTTTTTTTTTTTAAGGAAAGATCTGAAATGAATGGATCTCATGTAAGTCCAACCCCTGCAGGTTTTTGTTCACAGAGAGTGGAAGTGAAGTGTGTGTGTGTGTGTGTGTGTGTGTGTGTGTGTGTGTGTGTGTGTG